ATGTCTCTCCACCTGTTGCTCTGAAAGGTTAAATCCTTGCAGAGATAAGTGCAGCAACACTTGCGTGCACATTTTAATGTCCCACTTTCACTCTTTCTGTAGGAATTCAGTTGGTTTATAACAGATGTTATTGATTTGCAAACCGTGAAAGCCGACTTTTTCGATTCTTGCCTTTAATGTGAGTTCCAGTGTGAACACTGTTTGCTCATATTGAGTTGTTTTCCACCATGGCACGCTAGCGAAAAAGATGAATCCAAATGAAACCATTATAATTTCCCTTAATGACCTTGTTAAACTCAGATGATAGAAGAAGTTGACCTATTTGTGTTGGTGTATCGGTCGAGGATTGAGACATCTCTTAACAACAGGCCATGTGATGTCTGGACTCGCTCTGTCGGCTGTAAGCAAAGTAATGCCACATTTAGCTTTGATCTGTGGACGCTTGACAACCTGAGGACCATGCCTGTTGTTTTGTCACCATGACAGCTGCAGTGTGCTCATAAAAACAGAAAAACGTGGTTGGCATGCCCACAATGCCTACAGGGAGCTGAAGCAAAGCACTGCACGCACACCGTCCTGCTGTCACGTGAAGGAAGCTTTCAGGAAACACAGCTTCTGTTAAACTTTAACTGCTTTAACAGTTGAAGCACTAGTGAAATGGGGGACGTGTTGCTTTAAATGACAAAGTGTAGTATCAGTGCACTGTGCAGTTCTAACAAGGTAAAAGTGAACCTGTCACTGTTTGCATTAGTTGTGTTTTATACAATATTTTTTGTTGCTTTACAGACGAGTCCAAAACTGTATCTGAACCTGCTAGAACTGGAGTACAGTGGAGACGTGACGCAGAATGAGGCCGAGATCTTGGCTTGTTTCGACCGAGCCCTGAACAGCCCGATGCCCATTGAATCCCGCCTCCTCTTCTCCCAGCGCAAAGTCGAGTTCCTGGAAGACTTTGGCAGCGACATCAATGCGTAAGTTTCCTCTTTTTGTTAGCTTCGAAGACTAATGGATGCTTTGTCTAAATACATGTTTTGTATTTTATAGGTATGGGGGAAGATTTTAATGGTACAACTGCTCTTACAGATGCTGCGTATCGTAGCGGTACTTGAACAGTGCTCTCATCAGTTCTTTTGGTTCGAAGAGAAAAAAACAGGATGAACGCAGATTTATTTTCTCCATTTTAAAAATGAAAAATATTCTTCATTTTTCAGGCAAAGTAATTTTTACTGTGTGGTATGTAAAAGGTTTAAAAATTGTTCTACCACTGCTAACACTTACCATTCAGTCTGAGAAAGGGTGAACATAAAGTGTGACAGAACTTCTGGCAGTTCAGATGATGCTCTGACCGTTTCAGATTGAATTCATGAACGCAGCTGGCTAATGGTTACTTTCAATCATTAACCCATGCTCGTATAATTTCCTTGACTCTGTGTGAAGGCTCTTGGCTGCTAGCCTGTATAACGTACCCAGGGGCAGTGAGAGATGAGCTACAAGCTTAGCAGGTGCATACGCGGGCATTCCTCCACCCGTATGTGATGATCAACCGGTGGATGTTCCAGCAGATTGATCGTGTACCTGCTCTGACATGCAAAGAACTTTTTACACTTGTGGCTACATGAACTGATCAGAAGTGTAACTGCTCTTCACCACTGAACATTTATTTGTCTCTGCATCACCGTGATGCAGAACCGGCTCTGCCTCTTGCACACAGACTTGGAGAAAGAAAACTCTTCTGGATAGAGGATAATAAAATGCATCATATTTTTGAATCCTGTTTTTGATTTTTCCAGTCCTTTCAGGAGAACCGGTGATGTGGCGCACATTGATCCTCCTCCTAAATGATCCAACCTCGTGGCCTCTTTAATGCAGAGTTCTGCTGTGTTTTATGGTATAATTTACATTGTTTGACATCTTTCAGGCTCGTGGCTGCATATGAGGAGCAACAGAAACTACAGAAAGAGAGCGAACCAGCAAAGAGGAAAGCAGAGAACGGATATGACAGGTAGATAACGGGATGGGGCTTGGGTCACATCAGCACATTTTCTAATCAGTGTGGAAATATAGAACTGTTGTTCTTTGTAGTGAATTGCAAATGCCTGTCACATGAGCTAAACATCTAAAAAGTATGCAACACTGATGTAACCAGTGCTATTATTGACCATCTTAAATGGAATTTTACTGACCTGAATCCACCTCTCCAGCTCTCAGGAACCCGACTCCAAGAGGCAGCGTGTGGACGACGGTTCAGCCGCAGCAAACGCAACGATGGACATGACGGCAAACAACTCTGCGTACAACTACAACTGGTACCAGGTAGGTTTCATACCCAGCCATGCACGTTTTTTTAAATGTGCATTGATGTCCTTTTAATCAGATTGGACTACAGAACCATAGCAAAGTATGTTTTGGTTAAGCCTGTTGGACATTTTAGTGATCAACTTTATCTTTTTTCAAGCAGCAATATGGCGGCTGGGGACAGAACTCCTGGGGCCAGTACAACCAATACGCCCAGTATAACCAGTACTACCCTCCTCCTCCTACATGATGGACACAATCCTGATATGAAGATGGAGACTCTGCATCCTTTCTGACCTTCGTACATCTTGGAACCTCTTTACAGGGTGTCAAGGAGATTTCAAAATCACATGAGCTGATCCCCTCCTCCTCCTCCTCGTCAGCCCCTGATTCTTTCTGGTTTGCTAATCATTTAAATTACATGTTGCAGCTCAGCTACCTTCATCATCTCCAGCACTGGCTTCTTTTTTGGGTTCTTTAAATGCATGTTATTTGTGAAGGCAAATTTAATTTCTCCCCCCCTCCCCGTGTGACAAAGGGTTTTTCATTTTTAGATCGGATGACTTAGTTTGGTCTCTTTCTTTGTGTTAAAGGTTTAAAACTTGTAAAGGAGGCATTCGTTAAAGTACATCTAAGTCGTGTTTCTCCTTCCCAAACACAAAAGATTTTTAATATTTCATGGTCACGTTTCCATGAACAACAATGAAGAGTTCCTTGTTTTTTTTTTTATTATTATTTTGACTTGATTTCATAATAAAGAGATTGATATCCTGAAGTGTCTGCCTTGATTTTATCATTCTCATATGTGACTTTTGTCGAGGTCGCAGTTTGCGCCCGTTTTTTTTTTTTTCCTCCAGAAACTTGTCTTATTTCGGCAGTGGGCTTTGGGTGGTTATTATGCTGCAATGTTTCTCTTTTTCATGCTCCTGCAGACTGGGAGTCATGTTGATAGCCAGTATATCCACAGACATTCATGGTGCAGCTATAAATGTTGTTTTCCCAACACTTTTTCCACTCATTACCTTCCATCTCTGTTCTTCACTGCCAGGACTTTGCAATCACACCAAACATTTTGGACCTCAGGGAACAAATATACCCTGGTCTCATCTAATCAAAGAACGTGCTTCTAATCGCCGTCTGACATGTTTCAAGTTATCTAGCAAATACTTTTGTGTCAAAGAGCAAGCAATGGTCTTTTTCTTGCACTCTCTTACAGTTTGAAGCTCAAATAGTCTTTTACACCATCTGAGCTGTCACAAAAACTCGTATTACCAATGATAACCCTTGTGCCAAAGTCTGAATGAGCAGCCAATCTGTTTTTCATAAGTATAGAGCAGTGCAGCGTCTGCGTAGTGTTAGGAGGACGACTGCTGCAGCTCTGATTAGTCGTACTAGAGCTCTTTCTGTTATCAGTTTTATTAAGTTATTTTCTATTATTAAGGAAAGAATTTGACTTGAGTTTTTGGTTTATACCAGTAAGCACTGACTGTTAGGAAGTTCAGTGGATAAATGATATGATTAAAAAGCCAGTGTTGGAAGTTAACAGAACAACAGTAAGACAAATAAGAAGCAGGTGGAGCAAATTAAAGCCATTGGATAATATTTATAATGTGATTTATGTTGGACAGCTGTTCAGATAGTGCAAATGACTTTTTCTAGGAATGTCACTGTCACTGATAACAGCTGCAACTGTATTTCCATAGATTTTGAACTGATCATTGATCTTTTTTCTATCCTTTTCTTTCATTCTGAAGTGTCACAACCAGGTTTTTCAGTTCCTCTGGCAATTCTTATATGGAGCCATAATGCACATGCAGATAGACACAGCCTATAGGTCCAGACTGTTGTTCACAGCTCATTTTTTTAAATCTTGAATTGTGAATCACATATGTTTCCATTTTATGTAAGTGATCACAGGTTGGGCTGCAGGGTGGCGCAGTTGGTAGCACTGTTGCCTCGTCGGGCACCGGTATCTTTCTGCGTTGAGTTTGCATGTTCTCCCCGTGCAGTGTGGGTTCTCTCCGGGTTCTCTGGCTTCCTCCCACACAGTCCAAAAACATGTTGAGGTTAATTGGTGATTCTAAATTGTCCGTAGGTGTGAATGTGAGTGTGCTTGGTTGTCTGTCTCTAAGTGTAGCCCTGTGATAGACTGGTGACCTGTCCAGGGTGTCTCCTGCCTTCGCCCTAAGTCAGCTGGGATAGACTCCAGCCCCCCTGCGACCCTAGTGAGGACTAAGCGGTGTTTAGGTAATGGATGGATGGATGATCACAGGTCTTCTAACTGGTGAGTCAGTAATCACAGGTGTATTCACTGTTGTTGCACTGGTTTATTGGGGCCTAACTTTTTGACACAACTTTTGCAGAGTGTTTGTTTTTAAATGATCAGTACAGGAAAAACTAATCTTGTTAACATAGAAATAAGTCAAATATTAAGAAGTGGTAAAGCTTCGAGTTATTTGACATTTATGTGACTGTGCACAGGGGTTTTATACTGGAAAGGCCTGCTCCAAGTTATAACTCGCATATAGTTATGTAATTGTTCGTTTGTTCGCCACAGTTTAGCATCTATATGAGCAGAATAAATATTAATTTTGTTATAACTTTTCTATTTATGTTATTAGATGAAATACGTGTTAATTAAGACAAAAACAATTCAATATATGCGTCACAGTCAAAGTCCAGTGGGCGTGGCCACTGTTGCTGACGAGACTTGCGTATATCCGGACATGCGCAGTGCAGGCCCTCAAACAGCCCTTTTTATGCCTAGCGTTGAACGACTAGCATCAAACGAGGTAAGAGCCGTTCGTTTTCACTGTAAAATTGGCCAAAAAATAAACTCTTGACAAGCTTTGGTTAGCGAATCAATCACATATATCGCCAGTAACCACACGGTAACCATTATATTGAACAATTAAGGAATATTTCGTGTGTTTATAAGCGACTTTGTGAAACGCGTGCCCCATGTGGCTAGCTAAGCTAGCATTAGCATTTGCTACAGTCCGAGAGAGACACGTCCGGGCATCTCCCGGCACTTTGATGAAGTAGCGCCAGTTGTCTACGGTTTCGATTAGTTGCAAGTTACTATTAATACAATATTTAGGTGTAATAATCCCAGACATAGACATATCGTGGCGGGTTTGGTCGCTATTCTAATTAAGTCCAACGCACAAGCAAATTTCCGCAACAGATTGTCAAGTCAGACATTTTGGTTTATCAAAGAGGGAAAACAGGGGAAACGAGATGTTAAAGATCTGCTCAATCTGCAGCCTGAGCGTAGATTTTATTTAAATTTTCCTGAAAAAATCAAGTGGTAGTCCTGGGAGTCCTCCCCAAGAAAAAATAGAGGGCCAGACATTTAATTTACTCCATTCTGGGGATATTCAACGCACCAAATAGTGACCTTACTGCACCAGCTTTTGGTGGAAATGTCTATTTATGTAGAGAAGGACACAAAATTCAGGCACCAGGTGATAATTGAAAATATGATGGGTGATTTAGAAACCCAATAAAGTTTTCAACATTAAGTTTAGTTGTTATATGAGCTCTTCAATACTTGCAGGACTCTGTTTCTTTCATAATTCTATATTCAACAAGAATATAAACAGCATGTGAATAATCTTTACTTCGTGAAAAAGTTGCATCTAATTCCTATTGTCCTGGTTAGAAAAGGGTTCAGTTTAGACAAACGTACACAACGTTTTTGAGCCATTCAGCTGGTGACACATTGTCAACCACTAGATTAATCCACACCCTGATCAGCTGATGTGTTAAATGACAGTGATCATATAGTGTAACCAGGTCACAGACACTCCTTTGACTAGTGACTATAAAGTTCCACCTTAAAATGCAGCTTTATTCAAATGACACAGATGAAGAGAGAAAGATGAGAACAAGCTGTCGGCAGGCTGGATGATGGTGTGACAGTTAGTATGCAATATAGTGTGTTTTAAGACTTTATTTCAAGACATTAATTCTGTTGTAGAGATGCTCGTATTTTAAACAAGTGACGAATAATAACATGTCACGTTCGTGTTAAGTACAAAGACAGGTTAAAATCGGCCCCTGTGGTCCCCAGCAAGTGTGTCAGCATAAACAATACCAGCACCTTGAAACTAGCTCACCTTACTTGAATTAATTTTACAGTTATGTTGTTTCCTCTGTGTTGCATCAAAAATTTAGACCTGCAACAAGTTTGGCTCTGATTAAAGTTACTGTCTGTTTTCCTGCAGCATCATCATGCAGCTCTTCTTGCGTGCCCAGAACACTCACACCCTTGAGGTGACCGGAGAGGAGACCGTTGGCCAGATCAAGGTAAAGAGAAAATGTTTGACCTTTGTTCCCGCTGTAGAAATCTTCCTGAACACTGTTTTGTGGTGTAACAAGCCTTCTAATGTCATAATGTTGTCTATTCTTTGGTGTGTCCTAGGCTCATGTCCAGTCTCTGGAGGGTCTCCTGGTCGAGGATCAGGTGCTGCTGCTTGCCGGATGCCCACTGGAGAATGATGCCTCTCTGGCATCTTGTGGTGTCTCAGAGCACTGCACCCTGGAGGTAGCTGGCAGGCTGCTGGGAGGTCAGTACACAGATGCAGCACACTTTTGCTTATATTTGCTGTTTTTCAAGCAAGTAAGAAGTGTTAACTCAATTGCAAGCTCATTGAATAGAGTCAGGGCTGATCGATACCTATTACTGGTAACTTAGGAGACTTATAACTGATATATGGAACAGATTTGTAGTAAAAATGAAAATCTGTGTCTTAAAACTCCAAGACAAGAATTTGTGTAAATGTGTTTATTTCTGCTTTACAAAAAATGAAGAAGAGTTTTTTTGACATTTGTCTTTGAGGGTTGATAGAACATTACTTGTCATACAGCAGTGTTGGGTTTGCAGCATCAGAGCTATAATAGTGTATGTTCAAATCCATTTATTTTATTGGTTCGCAGTTAATAATAAAAATAATACTGAACCAATGCTAAACATGGGCTCTAATAATCAGTCGACCCCCGATCAATTAATCTCCCCACTACCAACTGAAATACTGTTTGTAGTTGTGATATGTTTGCATAGAAGTTAAAAGCCAGTGTTTTGTTTTTGAAACAGAGCAAATGATTAATTTATTTTGTCTGAGTGTATGCAGTTGGCTTCCAAGGCTAGCTCTGATATCCTGATTAATTTCTGTTTTTCCTTTTTCCTGTCACCAGGTAAAGTCCACGGTTCTCTGGCCCGTGCCGGAAAAGTGAGGGGACAGACTCCCAAGGTAGGATTTACTGCTTTTTCTGTCATTCCACTATAAAACTCATCTACATTTAATTTACTGACCTTAAAAACTACACATGTAGCACATCAGTAATTGGAATTAAGTCACTGAAACAGATTTGGATTCATGGTATGTTATAGAGAAATAAGAATGCTCCGTCTGTCATGTCGTCCAGGTTGACAAGCAGGAGAAGAAGAAAAAGAAGACCGGCCGCGCCAAGCGTCGCATCCAGTACAACAGGCGCTTCGTGAACGTTGTTCCCACCTTCGGAAAGAAGAAGGGACCCAACGCCAACTCCTAAGAGCTTCGAAGGAGTCGCAGCATCACATCCCATCAGTTTTTACCAGGTTAAATGTTATCCTGTACAGAATAAAAGAAGTTTGGCTTGGTCTACATGAGTGACGTGTGGATGTTTGTGAAACCTGCAGCTGCTTACGATGGATTCGATCAGACACCCATTCAGTTGTAGCTTGAAAAAAGTTAAGGTAAGTCAGGTTGTCATTCCTTAGTGGGAACTGAGAGAAGTTTATTCATCATTTACATCGTACATGCAGAAGAACAGAACAAAAAGCAGATCGTGTTTCGTGGTCTCTCATATATACATTATTGACAAGCCATTCCATTCTGGCCACAACCGAGAACGCAGTTATGACTGGTAATCATCTGTTAATCCAGTCTGTTTAAATGTGATAGAACAAAGAATCCTGGAAGCTGGGCGCCAAACAACCCAAGAGCCACTTCAATCGTTACAACAAGGCCTTTAAAAGTGAGTGCATTCTTGAAACATAGTGCATGCTGGCTGGGGTTTTTCGTTGCTTTGTTTAGTCCACAGCCACCAGCTCAACCTCAAAGAACAGCTTTGCATTCGGTGGGATCCTGGAAGAGCTGGAGTTAAGGGAAAAATATTAACGAGCATGAAATCAAATTACAGCACAAGAAAAAAAAAATCAGTCATTAAGGATGCTACCCTCAAATGTCTCGTTTTGTCCACAACCCAAAAATATTAAATATTTAGACTTTCTTTAAAACAGTTGGCAATTGATCGTAGCATCTCTAATTGACCACTATGTTAAAATATATAAATTTATCTAACTTGTGCATGTGAGGAACAAAACACCAGAGTAAAGGATACTTGGAGTCGGGGAGGCCCTTCTTTCCATAGGCCCACTCAGGTTCAATCTCCAGTCGAGCAGTTTCTCCTTTGCTCATTGTTAGAAGACCCTCATCCCACTGCGACAACGACATGTGGTGCATACATGTGTCATATTGTGCAAAAAGTGATAAAAGTTTGGATGCAAGGAGTAAAAGAACATGTAAAGAACTCACTCCTCTGATCACTTTGCCCATGCCGACTTTGAAGCTCAGCGGTTTGGCTTGTTTCTTCTTCCTCGCCACTGCAGAGAGAAAAGAAGAGAGATGGGAAGAAAAGGTAACTTGATTTCATCTGCATCACACTGAAGTGGTATTAC